AAAGTCTATATAAATTATAGACAGCTAAAATTATTGATTCTGAATTTATATTTTTCAGGATTTAGTTAACTGTTACTAGGACTGACAGGAATTTAACCAAATTAAAGTTTGCTCATTTTATTTTCTATTTTGTACGATGTTTGTAGGTTGATGATATATTTATATTAGTTATTTTTTTGTGTTTCCGTAATTGTATCGCGCATTTCATAAAGCATAGTGCTCTTGTGGTATATAGCATTTTGCATAGATGTGTATTGATCAAACCCGAGCCTAGCAACTTAACTACAAATTACTTACTCGAAATATGAACAAATTCGTTATTTCGCGCTTACAAATGAAATTTGAGTTTTGTCTATGGTACCGTGACTATACACCGTAAGTATTTTTACAGGTTAGTTAAAATACTTACCTACTTAGGTACGTAGATAGGTGATTCAAATTATCTTCGGGGTATAAAATAATTAATATTGACAGGACATAAACTTGTTTTGTTAAATCAGTTCAGAAAAGATTAAATAGGTTATTCATTTCGGCGTTCGGCGGTTTGCAGTAGGCATCCAGTGACACCTCCAACCTAGGTGAGGCGAGAGGGAGTCTAACTCTTACTGACTAAAAATCACCCCTGTATCGACGTAAAGACTTAACAGGTTGCCGTGGCTCCAGCTCGAAACAGGAGTAGGCTTCCGGCAACCCGTTAAGTCTTCCGCGACTCCGCATCGGGAATAAGCCCTAGGGTGCCCATCTGTAGTGATGAGTCTGATAGCTCTTTAAGGCGCGAGCAGAACAATGCGACACGTATGCTCGGTTCTGATTCTGATCAGGCAGCAAGCTACCATTGCTCGCTGACCGCAGATCCATGCTTAAAGTAAGTATCTCCGGAGGTCATCTCGTGATTTGGGAAGAGTATAGTGATAGTTATTCGGTATTTGAAGTTACCTACCAGAGTTGAAGTGTAAAATAGAGTATTGTCCTCTATATCATGTAGGCGTATCCTTACTAATATTATAAATCTGAAAGTGAGGTTGTTTGTTTGTTTGTTTGTTCCACTTTCACGCCGTAACTACTCAACCGATTGCTTTGAATTTTTGCAGACGTAAAGTTAGAAGTCCGGATTAAATAATAGGGTACTTTTTAATCCGGAAAAAATTGATATTCCCGAGGAAAAACAAAAGTATTGGTATAGATGGCGCTGTGTGTATTGGTATACGTCACATACGCTACTTTTTATTTTTTTGTGACGCGAGCGAAGCCGCGGGTAAAAGCTAGTAATCTATAAAGCTAAAAGAGTACGCTAAAGTACTCTTTTTTACACAATGTTTACATGACTAGTGCCAGTCTGTAATAATATGCAAAAACCCATGATCAGAATAAAATGTCTACTACTTACGTATTTAATGATATACAAATATAACAATAATATAATATAGCCTTTTATTCCTAAACATAGGGTTACAGGAGGTCCCTAAGTTCGGTGTGCCTTTTGGCATAGGGCTCTTCCAATTCTTTCCAATGCGTTCTGTCTCTTGCCACTCTCCACTCTCAACCAGTATGGTCCCGCTGTCAGTTTCAAGTCATCCTCCCATCTCCTGACTTGGCGACCACTGCTTCTTTTCCATCCCTTGGTAGCCAGAGTGTGACTTGTTTGCTCCATTTGTTAATAGGGTGACGTAGCGTATGCCCAGCCCATCTCCATTTTTGAATGTCTATCCGGGTAAGTGTGTCTGTGAGTTTTGTTTTTGATCTTAGGCAACGTTCCTGACTCTGTCTTTGATTTTTAATCCCAGCATGCTTCTTTCCATGGCACGTTGACATTTTGCTAGCCTTTCCCTGTGGTGAAGTGTTGATCAAGATTCGCACCCATAGGTTAAAACTGGCAGAGTGAAGGTCTCAAATGTTTTCTTTTTTATGTGAATGCCCAAATCCTTATTTTTCACTATTTCTTTCAGTGACCAGAATTTTTTCCAACCTTGGGCTATTCGCCTGTTTATTTCTTTTGTCATTTCGTCTGAAGGGGATATTATCTGTGCTAAGTAAATATATTCTTTGACGTACCTATTCGATTTTGTTATCATCCACCATAACATCTAGCATTGATTTCCAGCCCTACTTCACTACTTATGTTTGCTAGGTACTGCATCATCTGTTCTATTACTGCTGGATTCTCTTCTAGAAGCACCAAGTCATCGGCAAATCTGAGGTTGTTTAGGCAAGTTCCATTGACATTCAGCCCAAAGTGGTACCAATTTAGCTGTCTAAAGACGTGCTCTAATACGGCGTTGAATAGCGTTGGGAAGAACGGGTCGCCTTGGCGTACGCCCTTTTTGATTGCGAATGATTCTCCAGTTGATTCTAGTTTAATATTGGCCTTGCTAGATTTGTATAAACTCTTTAGTATTTCTATATAGTTCCTCTGGACCCCTTGCTGTTAAAGGCTGCGCCATATGGATTGGTTCTGAGGCTGCCGAAAGCTTTTGAGTACCTAATCTATAACCGCCAGGTAGATGGGTTTATTGTAATCGTTATACTTTTGTAACAACTGCTTTATTGTGTGAATGTGATCTTTTGTACTAAATTCTCTTCTAAATCCTGCCTGCTCCATGGGTTGGCTTTCGTTTAGTGTTGATGATATTCTTTCCAGGATCACTTTAGCAAATACTTTATATACTTTCGATATTAGAGAAATTGGCCTATAGTTGCCAATCTCGTCTCTCAAGGACTTTTTTATGCAATAGAATTATGTGACATTCGGCCCATTCTTCTGGAGTTTGTCTTGTTCGTAATATTTCGTCAAAATGATATAAGTGATCATTTAAAAAATACTTTAGTTCAGCGAAATTTGATAGTATTTTCTTTTTTAAACTAATCTATATTTTAAGTTTTGACACAATACCACTCTGTTATGAAAAGTACCGAGAATCAAACGAAATTTGGTATAGACATTGTATAATAATCTACTTATCGAGTTATAGGTTGACCTAGTATAATAATTAGACTGTTGATCAGTCAACATTGTATTTTGAAAGAAACTGGTTATCTGCTACAAAAGGTACGAAATGATACCCTTTTAAAAGCACCAACTTAATGATACTCTTTTTTGTTAGTCCATACTCTTTATTTACCTCCTTTAAAATATGATTTACTATATTTCTTCTAAATAAAGTTGACAAACCTAGACTCACTCAACTCTTTTTTTAATTCTCATTTTTTCATCTAGCCTGTGTTCATTAGTTGGTCTCGTTATCAACAAGTCTATGTTAATTGAAGTAAAAGAAAATTCTGTTAAGTAGTTACCTACACTGTTTATAACTTAAGTAAGAACGGCTAAATCGATTTGGCTGAAAATTGGAAGGGAGCTTAGAACCAGATGGACTTAAGATACTTTTTATCTAAGGATTTCCCGAAAATGTTACGGGAAACAAAAAAAACGGTATTGCGTGTACGAAGTCGCGGCCAGATGACAAGTTTAATTATAAAAAAACTAAATTAACATGCCTCCTCGATTCGTTAAGAAAGCACGCAAAATTATTATGTACCTACGAATATTTTGATCACACCATTAAATATTTATTTGGTGCGTAGGTACATAAGTAACTCGTACCTACGTTTTATAAAAAAAAACCAAATAGGTGCCTATCTAAATGGTTACATGTAGGTAGTCATATTTTTAGTTTAAACAAGATTATGTAGGTACCTACCTAGTGTTTAATCCAAATTATTTAATTGAAGTTTTATATATATAAAGAAATAAAAAAACATAAATATGTACTAAATACAAGTATATTGCAAATGAACAGGTAGTGCTTATGTGGTAGTATTATAACATTGTTGACGAAACATATTAGGCATAGCAATGAAGTATAAGCCAGTATCACAATTTTATGTATGAGATCATCGATATGTATATACGACAAATGTAATAAATATAAATATGACTCACCCGTTATGTACTCTGCTACAGAAAGACCGTGTAGGTTATCATTATCACTATTGAACGTCACACACAATACATTGAACACACACGTCGTCACACATCGCCCACACTTTAACATTTCTAGTTTTTCAATGGATAATAAACAATGTCACTAAATAACATTTTAGATACAATAAATGTAACTAATTTCTACTACGGACTAAATCATAGAACATTTGAGAGAAAGAGAAGCAACGTTAAAAAACAACAAAATCTTTGCGTATTGGTATTGAATTTCCGTAAATTTAACAAGTGCTGCCATCTCTGTATTTTGTGGTACAACATTTAGTAACGAAATAGAAAACACAACCCATTTGACATTAGCTACTATGCTTGAAAAGAGGTAATAATATGTATCTTCATCCAACGAAAACCTTGATTTGCCGAAGAAACTAATTTTAGATAACATATATTAAAACCATAAAGTGTAAACAAATTAATACAGTAATTTAATATTAATATCATAGAATATTATTACTTATTCATTTTTTAACATTGTTAAGCTAACGTCACTCCAAGGTTAGTGCGTTTAAACAAGTACAACTTTTTTGTGACAATGTCTGCATCTGTTGATTAAAATTTGAAACATAATAAGCTTCTAAACAAGGTCAACAGTTTTCATCAACCCGTAGTGAACGAAAATAATTAAAAATAAGTGTGTATTATGTCCATACTTTCAAAAATCATACATTTTACGTGTCATCACCAAATATTCAAGTACAAGTGTCCGCGAAAATGATCTGTACTTTGTTTTTCGCAATCACAACGTTACATGAACATGGATGACCTAAAATGCGAATATGTGAAGAAAAAAAGATGTTTGGGACTCACAAGAAGTGTAAACTGAAGTTATTATAATGTTTCGCACATTGATTATCGACAATCATTTACCTTTTCATGCCATCGCCTAACGATCGGTGAATTGCTTGGTCACAAAGTGAAAATGTGATGTGTCAAACTGATTGTTTACCTCGCGGACAGGTGAGTGGTTTGTAGAAGTGGTACGCGAGGGCGGCGGGAGGCGGGCGGTATGTCTGATCGATCAAGTCCCGTGAACGGCGGTTACGAGGCCGCAAGGCTCACCGTCCGCAAGGACCTCTTCCCGGAGGTTCGACTATCAAAGCTGGCGACTGATGGCTCTGGTACGGACTCCGACCAAGAAGAGGTCGAGTCAGCCTCTGGCGTGAAGCTGGAGACTGATTTCGAGCAAAGTATAGACGAAATTGCCAGTCATAAGGCGCAAGTGGCTAATGGGGCACTACCGTGTCCTACGCGGCCACGACACAGGAAGCACAAGCACCACTCCCGACAGAGTTCTCAATCCTCAACTGTGAATGGTTGTCTGCCTCCTAAAAGTAAAAGGAGAAAAGACTCACCAAAAGATTCATCCTATAGAACACATTCTAAACATAGTGTTGTGTCACAAGTGAAAGGTGGTAAAAACTTGAATTTAGTTAGTAGTAGTGAGTGTGCGGAAGATGATGAGGACAATGAAGAAGCTGAAGAGGAAGAGGAGGAGGAAGAAGAAGAAGAGGAAGTGGAAGAGGAGGAAGAAGTAGCAGAGGATAGTGAAAGTTCAGAGGATGAACAGCTCAAACATAACTCAAAGTTACCAATAACAATGCAGCGACAAAGTGGTAAACCGTACAGTCATGAACTTAGTCAATTATCAACAAAAAAGAGTAAAAAAGACTCTAAAGAGCGTAAAATTCATGCAATTATACCATGTAGTGGCAAACCAAGGTCTATGTTGGACATTCGCAGTTCGCGGGGTAAAAAGAAATCAAAGAAGTCTGAGTGCACACCCACATATCGAAGCCAGATAGTGGATACTAACTCTATGAAGATTAAGATTAGGAGAACAAGTGTTCATGAAACTGTAAGTAATTGTTTTATTGATTTATACATCTTACATTCTGAGACTGCTATAACTGTTTAATACTGACATTATTTTTTATTAATGACACTGCAGATGCTTAGGCATTAGTAATTTCCAAATGAATTAGGTATATTTTCATTTAATGAGACATATTTGTTAAAATCTTCATAATTTCTTTAGACAAAGTAAACTTGTCTCAATCATAATCATTGTTGCAATCTGCACAATCAATAGCTACATAAATTGTAATATTTACTCACAATGCACTGAATGTAAGAGTAAGTAAAGTGCAAATCAGTGAGCTTCACTTTCCATTCTGAAGTGTAACTTGTTTTCATTGTTGCACCTAACTTGTTTTAGACTGGTTCAGCAAATATTTGTAAATTCAAGACTTTGTGGCATTTTTCATATTTTAAAATACCTATCTTGAATTTCATTTATTTGAAGGTTGTGGTAAAATTGAAGGTTTTTATAGATTAGGTATATTTATTTCTGTTAAGTTACTGATAAAAAAATTTGTGTGGAACTCCATTGGTTAGAATTGTAAACATAAACAGCTGGCATTTATGTACTTTGTTTAATTGAGATTTTTTGAAATCTTTGATAACTAGGGAATTAAAATACAAAGTCTTATTAGCAGTTTTTGGATCTTAATGTAGTGTGCTTGGCTTTCTGAAATGACCTAGATTAAAGAATTAATAAACCTAAAACTATGTCTTAGATTGGAACATATTACAGTTAGATTCTCATTCTATTTTCTAATAGGAATAACTAATTTAACACTACATAAAAGCTAAAAAAATATTAGATTAATTGCCATAAAAATTGATAAGCCATACAAATGGGACACAGTAGGCAATAAATAACAGGAAAATTAGTAGTTATAATTATTTAGCATTCTCATGGTTACTATCAAGTTAATTCACAAAATATTAAACCAAGGTGAAAGATGTTTAACTTAATTTAACATGTTATATTGTTGCATACTGTTGCTGCAGTATAGGTTTACTATAATAATAAAAAATATATGATTTTACTACCAATAAGAAGTGACAATAAGAATGTGGTGATCATTATTACCAGTAATTTATTTATGCTTTACTAAAGACAAAAGTACAAAGTGTGATAACAAACCATTTGTTTCTAATCCATACAACTTTTTTAATGGGATAAATAATAAATAATATTCGGAATGAATACTGTAATATTTGTTTTTATCATCTAGTTTCACAGTTGATATTAATCAATAGTCACCAGATAATTTATAAATAGTTCTGAATTATTAGTTAAGTAATATTACACATTGGTTTAATAATAGGAACTTCACGGAGGACTTGTAAAACTGGGCCACACAATAATTTACTTCTTCAACACTATTTTATTTTAGATTTCTTATCTAGTAACTGGATATCCAATCATAGCTAGATATTTATTCATTTTTGAGATAATTATTTAATTTCATTAAGTAGGTATTTGAAATTCATACATTCAAGTACTAACAATGTTATATGATTAGCTATGCAGAGCTTACACAATCAAAGGCTCTAACAGTAGGTATTATGCTGCAAATATTGTCATACTAAATGGAGGATCTGACCTTGACTTGCAGCTGTGAACACTCCAAGGCCTTACTTATTATCCTTATAACTATTATTTACAATAACTGTTTCCAGTTTTGATTATGTATACCTTGTTCACGAAATAACACAGGAAGATTGATAATGGATTTAGGATAAATATGTATGTATTTAAATTTAATGTGAAGGTTGATGTTTAAATTGGCATACATAATAATCTAGACAGATGCTAAGCAACAAAGATTTCAAGGGTTTATGTATGAGTGTAAGAAATTGGTCAGTAGGCACCTTACGGTAATTATTCGAATTGCTTGAGATAGCAAATAAGAAAATAGATGTCATTAGTAGTCTTTGTTATTATTATTATCAATTAGGCTAATTATTTATGTTTGTCTATGTAGGCTATTAATTGTAGTCTGTGCCTCAAAACTTGAAACTAATTTGATAGAATAGGATATCAGTAATTTTTAATGGAAGGTCTGATCAGCTACCATGTTCATCAATTCATAGTAAAATGTATTAATAATTATGATCTTATTTAATTGTTAACTTTTCCAAAAGTCTACTTGATATCAAACTCGGCAGTCAGAAACTGTCAAAATATTGATATTGATTCTGAACCCATTCAATGCTTATCAAGTAAATTCTATAAATTAAGTATATCTGCTTATAATCTGGTGTCAGTATGTGTACCAGATTTGTAAGTTTATTGTAGGCCATTGATATAAGCACTATCATATGATTTTTAATCCTAAATCCTAAAAAGAAGACTTAAGCAATACAATGTCTCTGCAGTGTTATCACAAGTAGGTAACAAATGCAAAAAATTAAACTGTCAAACACCGCGAGGACACCGGTGACCTATTGTTCTTTAATTGTGTCTATAATGACTGTACTCAAAGAGTGAAATTGCATCAATACAGAATAGAAGAACACTCAATGAAAACACTAAAGATACTTATTGAATTTTAAATTGTACTGGATTCTTATTTGTTTATATAAATTACACACAATTTGTGGGAATATCTAATATGTTTTGGTTATTTGTCAGATATTTTATTCTATTTTACAATTTTGGGAAAACTAACAGATTTCCACTAACAAATGCTGCCAATAACAAATTTTCACTTACAGGTTAATTAAATTACTAGTTTAAAGTATTTCATATCTTATAGGAATTTAATATTTTGTTACTTAATGCAATTTATAATATTTTCTTAAGCTGGGCACTATAAAAATGTAATATTACAGGTAACACCAACTCCTACATCGGTTTCTGATATTGGTCAAAGGAAATCTAAGAAGAAGCGGGCGGCTTCACCAGCAAGCGTCAGCTCTGGTGAGGAGTATGATCCGTCGCGCGGTGATACTGCTGCCGCGATGAGCGTCGCAGCGCCCAAGCCGCGCCACCCGCGACCTAAGACTCCTAAGCCTAAGAAACCGACAAGTTCTAAAAGTAAGCAAAGTAAGTAGCTTTCTAATTTTATTATCTCAGTGTTTAACGCAAATCTATAAGGATGGTATGAATTCTAGAACATGTCGCTTTTCACATGATATATTATGTACCTTAACATAATCATAACAAATTTAAGCAAATTCCAAATGGTACCATGTTACCCCATATTTCGCGAAACGCATCCGATTTACCTCAGCTGCTAGTTGCCTATTTGTATTTGATAAACATACAGATAACAAGATAGCATAGCGTAGCCTGTGTATAGTACTGTCACATTTATACCAGTATTTGACTTTTTGATATCCCTGTGCGACAAACTTGCTAATGCAATTTCATTTGCAATATTTTTGTACTAATTTATGTTACCTACAATGAGCATTTTACCTAACATTTTAGCAAATCGTGGCATACTGTAATATAATATCGACTTGTAAAAGATTATCTTACAATATTCAGCATAATTCAATGTAGTATGTTTAAAATATAATGAATGCGAAGTTGCCCATGAGAATATTAACTTATCTTTCAAAAATGTCGTTTATTACAGAGAAAAGTGAAAAGACTGAAAGAACTAGAATTAGTGGAGCTGAAAGTAAAGAGACTGGACCACAAAGTCCTTGGGGACATTCTATGCCTAAGGAGATTCTATTAAAGATATTTGAATATGTTGTGGCCTCTCAGGGCACATTGCCTTCTGTGATCAGGTAAACACTTAAAACATACTATGTATATTAAATAATAAATATTTGGAATTGTAATTCATTTTAATGTGTTGAATATTTCCTTCTAGAATTGGTAGAGTATGTAAGTTATGGCACAGTGTAAGCTGTAGACAAGAATTATGGAAGAATGTAGACCTTGCACAATATACTACAGAAAAATGTAAAACGGACTACAAACTAGTGTGGCTCCTGGAAAACCGGTTATCGCAATGTCAAAACTTAAATATTGGTAAGTTTCGCTTCAATTATTAAGAAGGTTTCAAACTCGTAATTTTTTGCTTAACAATCACACTTGCGACCAGTCGACCAATCCGAGCCAATCGTAGCATTTGGTCATAGTTGGAGCAATTGTATTTGGTGTCTCTTTTTGCACCAAATAAATGCATTATCCATCTATCATATTGTTATATTTTTCTTTGCTCGTACAGCTCAGTGGAAAGTGAGCAATGTATCATGGGTGCTGGCGTGTGTCGCGGACTACTGTCCACAACTCGTGGAGCTCAGCGTGGCCGGCTGGAGCCGCATCACCTCCGACCAACTCTTCGACCTACTGCAAGCCCTGCCTAAGCTGCAGAGGATTGACTTATCGCTTACGGTATGTGGCATATAAACAGAATATACGTATTGCTTAACATTTAAAAATTAGTTTCACTTCTTTAAAAACTTCTTTGAAAATGCGTACTAAGTGATGAATATGAAACTAAAAATAAAAATACATAGTATTTCCCATTACATAAATATGTGCATTAATTTTGATTTGTTATTTTTTCATTCTGAAAACTATGTATGTTGCCTACATGTTATTAAAATGCTAATATCTCTGTTATCTATAACATATTGTTACAGTCTGAAACGGGCGGTTCAAGTTCGTGCTTGTCGGCTGCCTCGATGGCGCGCATCACGGAGAACTTCGGCGAGAGACTCACGCATCTCATGCTGGCTAACAACAAGTTCATAGCCATGCCGCAGATACTCACGTCCATAGCGGTATGTTACCAATTTATGGCGTACCTGCTTATCATTAGACAATGTTCGAATAGAACTAAACTTAAAATAAATTATTTTTATTATTCCCAGACATATTGCTCCAACTTGGAAGTTCTGGACATCTCGGGTACCCTGGCAGCCTCGCACCCTGCCGCGGTGCCACTGGAGGCCCTGCAGAAGGGCTGTCCTAAGATGCGAGTGTTCCGGGCTGCCAACTCACAGCTCGTGCTGGCCAATGCTACCACTTCGCAACAGGTTTGTTAGAAATGCTAAATAAAACTGAAATTTTGGTGGTAGTACTGACGAGCAATAGCTTCCTCTCACTGATCTTTCGGTATCCTAATCTCTTGCGAAACGCGGCGAAAGTGGAAAATCCTCTTTATATCCTTGTCTATCAATGATGGATGTGAGGCTGTAGTTAGAAGTATGGTGGTGTGTGTAGATGGAGTGCCAGGGCTGGGCACACCTGGAGGAGCTGTCGATCGCGGGCGAGGCGGCCACGGAGCGCGTCGGCGTGGGCGAGTACAGGCTCGGGGACGACGCATTGGCGCGCCTGGTGCGCGGCGCCACGCGCCTGCGCCTGCTCGACCTGCGCGGCCTGCAGCGACTCACTGACTCGGGGCTCGTGCGCGTGCCCGCCTGGGACCTGCAGCATCTCTTCCTCGGCGGTAATATTTGTAACACGTTAACACTGTATGATCAATCGACAATGGCCTTTGGGACCTAATGCTGTCCAGAAATAAAATAAATCATAGCGTTCTTTTGTCGTCAATAAATAAAAATTACTATACTGAAAACAAGTAAGTACTAAATGTAGCTGTGATATATTTTAAAATGATATTGTGTCTACAGGTTGCAACGTGACTCGTCAAAACAGTGCTTGCTTGGAGCTGATTTGTGAGAAGTGGTCTCACAGTCTGATCGAGTTGGACCTGTCCTGGGCGTCTGCCGCGCGGGTACTCGACGACGCCGTGTCTGCGTTGGCCGACTCTGCCGACAGCAAGCTGAGGTATGTGTTTACAGTCACTCAGATCGTATTCCTCGGGACCTCACTACGATTTAGCATGTTGTTTATTTTTTCAGAATACTCAACTTGTGTGGATCATCGGTGTCTTTGGAACCCGTAAAGAAAGTTCTTTTAAAATGTCCACATATTGAGTCTATAAATCTCAGTTCTTGTCGAGCGTTGCCTCGGGGCATGAAACGCTTGTACACAGGCAACGAAATCCAGGACCTTAAAGACAGTTTAGATCCAGAAAAAATTAAAGCCAAAGAAAATAAAAAAGAAGAAGAAAGTTCAAAGACAAAGAAAAGCGTTAAGAAGTCAGCTGCGGATTCCAAGTCAGAATCTGTCAGCCAAGACAACTCTGCAGATGTGTCAGATAATTCTGACGCAAAAAAAGATACAACGTCTACAAAAGCGGTCACTTCACCTTCTGTATTCCAAGAGCCTAAAAGTCTTTCAGAGTCACCTTCTGCTTTGGCAGAAAAACATTCAGCATCCAAAAGGACGCCAGTGATGTCTTCGCCTGACAGTAAAACACTTGATCAAAAATACAGCAAAGAAATTATTGGTGCTGTACCTGAAGGAAAACGGTCGACAAGAGGTACGACTCCAAAGCTTCTTAGTCCTGCTACACAATTAAGACCTGATTCCTCCTCCACGCCTAGGTCCGATCCCGTCAAAGATCTTGGAAGTCCCCATTTCAGTCCAGTCCCCAAACCAGACAGTCAAGTACAAAATAGTCCCGAAGTCCAAACAGACTTACTAAACCCAAGCCAAAAGAGTAACTCATGGAATCTAGGACAGTTTAAAACCACACCCACACATAAGTCTGAAGCCAGCCCGTTAAGTAGGTTAGAAACTCACACTAAATTAAAACACGGCAAAGTTATAGAGCAATGTAGTCCGACCACCTCGCACGATAACAAACCTAGTCCCGAAACTCATAGTATCAAACAAGATAGCATGAAGAATCCTAGCTGGAATTACGGCAATTACAGTCCTATGCCGCGCCAAGAAAGTCAGTTCTCTTCACAGAGGAGTCCTTATTCAGCTCAACCGAGCCCTGCTCAACCAAGCCCCTATTCAACGCAACCTAGTCCATACTCAACACAGCCGAGCCCATATTCTTCACAGCCTAGTCCCTATTCAGCCCAACCGAGTCCAGATACAAGTCAAATTGTAAAACCAGAGTTACAAAAATCTAGTGCTTGGAATACAGGAAACTATAGTCCCATGCCTAAACACCACCCACCATTTTCTCCCCACCCGTCCACACATGCTAGCCCCGACCCGGGAGTTGGCTTGAAAACTGACACTCTTAGAAACAATCCAAATAAAACTCCGGGACATAGTCCAATGTCAAGACAAGATCGCATCCACCATAGTCCTTATTCACCCAGACCTAGCGTAGACGTAAATTATAGCAATAAAAAAAGCCCTGGAGTTGGCAACTATAGTCCTATGATGCGGCCAGATTGCCATCTACCTAGTCCAGACAGAGGCTCTACTGCAAGACCCACAATGGCTGGAAGACAACAAGATATATATGGAAGAACTGTAAATAAAGCACCTGATATACTACATAATAGCGCACCCCAACCAGAGATTCCAAACTCTTGGGGTATAGACAGATTCAATCAGATCACTAACTCCACCACCTCGGCCATCGAGTCCCTCGTGTGGGGAGCGACATCGTTCAACACGGAGCCCGCTCCGATGCCGCCGCGAGTTGACAACATTCCCACCATGCTCAACACGCCGTCACCACAAACGTGGTCCGGTTTGCCTCCGTTCGAAAATAGTGTTCAAAGACCTAATGACGATTTTAATGATCCGTGGACTTTAGGACAATTCCGTGAACAGCCTCACCATGTGCACAATACGTTCGTGGATCAAAACAGTTTCGACCTGAGTGCTCACTTAGGACATCAGGCGCACTCACTACAGAGTTATCTGGAAGAAAATTTCCCAGAGACCTCTCGTGTAGAATGACGTTCTCGCTCGCCTTCGTTTTAATAACTCGAATGAAACTGCATTGTTGTTATGGACAAAATATAGTAATGATAAATTCCTTCTTTGGAGGGTTATAGGGTGATGTTGTATTTAATAATGATTGAACAATTATATTATAGACATTGTAAATAAGATTTATCTAGTTAGAATTAAGAGTAATGAAGCTAGGAATGCATTAATGTTATTTTGCAGCATAGTTTATGAAATGATATAAGAGATAAGAAAATTATAAATAATAAGGATAGTAAAATTCATCCATCGACTTAGATATTGTTGGATTATACTCATGAGTTAGGTTTTTAAATTGAGTCTTTATTTTGTATGCCAAAACCTATTTTCACTGAGGCCAAAATTTATTTATTTCTATCCATGATTATTGTTTATTTTGTTAAATCACGTTTGCCTTTAATAGCATTGTCTACGAGAATGTAATGTCCTTTTTCATTAAGCCTATGACCGTTTGAAGCCATTTACTTTGACTGTTAACTAAATTGTTGCAATAGCATAAAACATTCCGTTTCAGTTTGTAAAAATTATGTAAATTATTGTCAGTCTATAAAATTTCTCGACACCATCGTTTTAGAGTATTGACTACGATCACTTGAACAAATTCTGATATGTAAAATATAAATTGAATAAAGCGTTTTAGTAAGTTCAATTAGCAAACTACAATATTAGAGCATTCCGTAGATTCGGCCATACAAGTGGGGGACCATTGTGTAAATAAAATAATTGCAAAAAGCCCCATTACATAATCGGCCAAGCGATCGCAGCCAATATTCAGCCTGGCTAAATATTTTCTTATTTATTTGCGTTGTTAGATATTTTAGATATTGTTGTGTTAGCAATGATCGAAGGAGTTTATTGTTGACGTGCTTTAGAGTAGGCCATAAACATAGGTATAATGTTTACTTCGGTTTATAATTCAAATAAGAAAAGATAATAAATCCCATGATGGGTGTATAATTGCGTTAAGATGTACACGAATGATTCTGAAAAGTAGTTATCTAGTTGCATGTCATTTTTATAGTATATATTGAATGTTTCCACAGTGTTGTTAATATTTTTCAAACTCTACTCCACCAACACTTCCAGTTTGTGAAAACCCTTACCAATGAGTAATGAACCAATCACGTGTCAACTTTTAATTGATATTTATTATGATCTTCCAAAATAAAGTGTTTCGAAACCGGAGCTAGTTTCAACAAAGATAGATGTATTTCATAGCAGTCAGTTTAAATTATAGTCCTGTTATTGAACTCGATGTTTCAATTAGCTTTACAAAATGCAAGCAAGGTGTTCTAATTACCGCACACTGTTTCAAATGTTTTATAGAAATTGTAAATGGAGTGTATCTTGTGTTAACTGGTGCAGCTAACAATGCTAGCTATTGTAAAAGTACTTATGAGTTACATTTATACATTCGGCATCATTCATTCATTTGCAATTAATTTTGTTGTGTCTTGATTTCTTTTACATTTTCGCAGTCTTTTTGACAGTCATGAGTGTTTTGCCTTGATTATTCAGTAACAATTACAACAATTTTTTCAATAATACTATATAATAAAGTCTCTTGTAAAAAATAGGTTATAAAATGAATAAATGATGCTGTATATTTTGATAAAGATAAAGCAATACACAAACAAGTTTTATTATATTTACTTTATGTTGCATTTTGAATATTCAGTAAAATTATTTCTTTATCCCATGTAATAATGTCAGGTGCAGGATATATTATATGGTCTCTATGAGTTTCATCTTGTTTTAAAAGGAAGTATTATAATTGTATAAATCATAATAATTATTCTATTACCAACCTGTATTATTTATTGGTACATACAGCGTGATGGATCTGGCTACACCTCTCGTTGGCAAGGCGAAATAAAGAATCTCAATAAACATCTAGGTACATACTTTGTACAGGTATATTCAATGCCAGTTTTGATTGAATATTACATTACATATTTAAACTCTAGATCCACTGAGGTGTATCTGGTATTCTGCTCTCGTATGCTTGACTTTCTAATATCATTTTATATTTTTATACTTTTTATTAATGATGATAACAAAGTTAAATTTTTATAAGGAGAGAATTCTAAATATCATACCTATTTATTTAAAAGTAAAGCCAAGTACAAAGTGCTTTTTTTAATAAATTATATGTATAATATTACGTAGACGTACGTCGTACATACTTCGTGTTGTATTTAAAGAGACCGTTAAAACCACCAAATATTGTTTCCATACCTACATTAGCCTTATAAATGCCTAACTTTTAACTGAAGAGATATTTTATAGTTTTATTAACTTATTAAAAATGAAAAATTATTATCTTCTATACATAGAATGTATAAATATAAAATTAGGGAAATATTATGTTAAATAATCGTGTACTATAGTATGTATAAAATAAAGTTGACTAATATCTGTAAGTTCTGTTATGTAGAGATTTTTGTTTGTAATATTGTTACACTACTGCGCGGACTTCTTACAGGTGGTCCAATTTTTATAATCTAACCAATAAAATATCGATGTGGTTGTACATTTACATTTTGAATAGAATGTACTCTATTTATTAAATTTCTTTTGTTGAGAAAACATCATCCCATCTGTTTTATCCTCAATTCCCACCCCCGATTTGAAATGAAAGTTTTAATTGAATATGAAATGAATAATGAACTTGGGTTTTCATTTTTAGATACCTGTAGGTGACTTAATTTTTTCCCAGGTTCAGTGTATGACCATAGATGTAATAAAGAAGGAGATATGGTGTGGAGTCAAAAATGTATGCAAACCCGTGAAGCCACAACTGCCCCTCCATAAAACTAATATTACACACACAGTTCTAACAAAACAATACTACGAATAAGTTCACACACGCGGCATCGATAACTCAGTAATTCAAATATAAGCCTTATTCTCTAAGCAACGGCGCACATTCTTCAGCGCATTAAAACAATTTGTCACTGTGTGTTAGGGGCGGGATCTACAGTTGCCGACGGCAACTTGCCGTAATGACTTGACGATATCGATAGCTCCCGATGAATATATCGATATATTTACTACAAAGGTTTTTGGAAATAATGTAAAAAAAATTAAAAATAATTTCAAATCAAACGAAAAGTTGTATGTCATTTATATCATTATAACTAATGATATAATTTGGGTAAGAAAGGGATCGCATTCTTGGTTAATTAATGAAGTCTTAATGTGTAATATTTTTCCATGACTGTTTTTATTAATAATATTATGTGGTTATTCATGGAAAATAATAAGGGTTCCGAAAAACAAATTAATCTCCAGCGATCTGTGGCCGACTATAAAAATGGATCTTCGAATAACAAAACTAAACTTCCGAATAGAATATTGAACCTCCGACAAAATTACTAAGTTACCGACAACAGACGTTTAGTATTGTAGCAATAAACAGTCATGTAAAGTAGTTGGAAAGTTAGTATTTTAGGCAGTACATTTAATATTTTCAGTAAGGATAATTCTTCTTTTCTTGTCGGAGCTTTTATTACTACCCGTTATTCATTGGGGACTACTCTGTGAGTACAAAATTGTGACTATGCGTTGCTGCTCATTATAATGCATACAAAGCTAATGGTTCATTAATGAAGATTAAAGTAAAATACTATAACCATAACAAGTGAACAAATATAACTACCTATTTGCAGTCGACGTTCTTGTCGATAGACTTTGATAAATCTCCACGACCACATCACTATCTCGCTCAAAGACGGCGGACCTGAGCAACAGACACACCATGTGACATCGCGTTTTGATGAGCGTTTCGTTAGGTCACTTATACATTGCTGGTTTAGTTACTCAGTGTCACACTAAGGTGGTTGTAAAAAAGTAATGTATTAATGTAGACATAATACAGTCGGAGTAATATAGAAAAGTAAAAATAAAGTAATAACTTGTTGTGTTTCGTCATTTTTAAGATAAATATTGTAAATATGTGTTCTTACACATGGTAACCGATGCCATGACTTCTACAGTTTTTGTTTTGGCTTATATTTTTGCACGAAACCACTGCACAAGGCGGAATTTTATAGTTGGTTGTACGATCGCGAGTGACAACAGACTAAATCGTGGTGACGGCCGTATTTTCCTACATTGAGCGGAACGCTCAATTACGAGCATCACCGACACGCCCCCTTGCCACTTCTCCTTTTTTAATTTTTCTGTGGTATGATCACTTTTTTTTTGTTTTAGTTTAAATAACATAATTAGCATGAGATACTAGGATGTGCACAGCTACATAATAAAACATCAAAGTATTGTTAAAACATTTTAATAATACAACAAGCATACATATTGTAGTGTTTGTGGTAGTATCTATATACATATAGATACATGCCGTCTCGTGCGCATGACGCGCGGAGTGGACAGTTATTAGCACGAGAGCCGCGGGCGAGGGTGGACTGTGTCACTGCTGCGCGTGCATGTGTGATCGAGCCGGCGTATGCGTTATAGTATTACATTAGTTTACAGTAAGGGTCCTACATTTGGCGACGAGCTAAAAGGTAAGTAATTTATATTTTATCAAAAAGAATAAGAAAGGATGTTGGGTGTTATTTTAGTCCTATCTACATACCGACATGATCAAATACCTGGCACTATATTATTATCATATTTGTTAACCTGCATTAATAACCCAACATTTCATATTTACGAGTTCAAATAAACATTTTACTGTACAATGATTCGCATATAAACTGAAGCATTTCGTCCACATTTCGGTATTTGAACTAAAATGATGTTAAACTTTTTAATTGAAAGTTATATAATTGAGATGTTTAAACTGTCAAACACTAGGCGGTCGCCGGTGGCCGCGACCTGTTCTTTGATTGTGTCTGTAGTGGGGGTACTCAACGAGTTAAGCAATTACTTAACTATGTAGGTAGGTATGTGCGTCAACATGAAATATGTGCTGTGGATTTATACTTATAGGGTTGGATACTTTGTTT